TAATCAAAATGCAGCCGAAAATTTTCCTCAGGTTTATAAAAAGCGACATGCAAAATTTGGTACCAATTGGTTCAGTAGTTTTTGAGTTTATCGCGAAACAGACAGACAGACAGAAATTGACTTTTATATATAGAGAGAGATTTACTCTTCATTGTTGGCTTTTTATCTTACATTCATTCTTCATTGTTGGCTTTTTATATTACATTCACTCTTCATTGTTGGCTTTTTATCTTAAATTCACTCTGTTGGCTTTTTATATTACATTTACTCTTCATTGTTGGCTTTTTATCTTACATTCACTCTTCATTGTTGGCTTTTTATATTATATTTACTCTTCATTGTTGGCTTTTTATCTTACATTCATTCTTCATTGTTGGCTTTTTATATTACATTAACTCTTCATTGTTGGGTTTTTATCTTACATTCACTCTTCATTGTTGGCTTTTTATCTTACATTCATTCTTCATTGTTGGCTTTTTATATTACATTCACTCTTCATTGTTGGCTTTTTATCTTACATTCATTCTTCATTGTTGGCTTTTTATATTACATTCACTCTTCATTGTTGGCTTTTTATCTTACATTCATTCTTCATTGTTGGCTTTTTATATTACATTCACTCTTCATTGTTGGCTTTTTATATCATATAGAAATTCATAGTTTTATCTAGTGAACATTTTTTCCCGTGTCACATTGCCGTGTCATCCTGAGATAATCTTACTTTTGATAAATAATATTTAAGATAACAAACTTAGTGATAAGAAAACTTGTTATCATCGTCACAATGGGGGCGCTGCTTGCGAGTTAAATCTACAAATCTGCAAGTAACTCTAAGGATATTCAAGATATTCATGAAATTATTTTTCAAAAACCTTCCCGGTGATATACCTAATAATATCCCAAAATTTCACGGCGATTGGATGTACGGTTTTTGATTCTATAGAGTACAAACAAACAAACAGACAGAGAGACATTCAATTTTATATATATAGACATAAAAGTTAATATACGAATTGCAAGATCTTTCTTATTTAAATTCGGAAAGCTTTCGAGCTTTAACTCTTCTTCAAGCCTATATATGAATATGGAGAAATATCATGTATCGGAGACATTCTTAAGTCTAGCTGTATAAATGGATATATTTAAATAAAACAATAAAGGGGGGATTTCTAAACGTCTTTTATCATATAGAAGATACCTATTTTATACGAATATATAATATATAAAAGTTAATATACGAATTGCAAGATATTTCTTATTTAAATTCGGAAAGCTTTCGAGCTTTAACTCTTCTTCAAGCCTATATATGAATATGGAGAAAGGATGAAAGGATAAAAAAAAAGTGTCCAATGCGGGAATCGAACCCGGGTCGTAGTGGTCGAAAACCAAACGGTTTAACCAGCCTTCCACCAACCCCCCTGGTATGGTATCTAATATTTAAAAGGTAAATTATTTATAAAATAAATAATTACGTATAAGATATAAATGATGCATTAAAACCAATTCTATTAAATAATCCTTTGAAATTGAAAGCATTAGAACTCCAGGGAAAAGTTTCTTTTTTTACAAATATTTTATTCACACAAATCTCTACAGGAGAAAATATTTTACATTAAACCCCCCAATAGATATAGAGTTTTAAACAATGGAGGCCCGTGTTGATTCTGTATTTAAACAACTGTAAAGATCCCAAAGGATTTTATTTTATTTTATTTATTTATTTATTTATTACAAAACACACACACTATATTTATGTGGATATTTGCATGTAAATGTTTAATCTATTTTATGTACATAGTTTTTAAATATATATATAAATTATTTATAGTTTTAGAGAGAGAGAGAAAAAGTTATTTAAATTTACATTTTAGAGCAATAAATTATACAAGAAACAAAGAAAATTTACATACATATTATCAAAAGTTCAATATATATTTAGAATTACAACCACTAAACCAGTGGCACAAATATACTAATTAAAACTAGAAATTTCAATTCTTAATGTAATTCAAGTCCACGGCACTTGAGATAGAGTCTACAGAACTTGTTAAATTTTCTATATTCTTCTTTACTGGAAACCATTTGGCTTAAACTAGAAAGGATTAAAGGATTTTATTTGATTTTAATTCTTATTTTATTAGTGATTTTATATCAAATATTTTCTCCTGTAAAAGGGTTTCATGTCTGAAATCTTGAGAGATTTATAAATAAAAATTAAAAGAAGAAACTTTTCCTTGGTGGCTTAATGATTTTACTCTAACATTTAAACAAAGTTTTTTAATTATAAAAAAGGCATCTCCTTATCTTGCAACTGAAAGTTGCTGATGGCTTGCGCCATCTATCGGAATAAATATCAACTATTTTCGTTGATTTTTAATTATTCCAGAATTGGCCGAATACCCATTCTTGATTAATCAAGAAAAACTAATCACGGACGACGTGCCCTTTTTTCATAATTTAAACACCTTATCCCAGTACAATATCACAATTGTACTATTTTTTTTCACAAAGTTTTTAAATATTTCTTTTAAAAATAGACACTTCAGCCAGATAAAAGTTTCAACAAAATTCTTTTGTCTTCGTTAGGAGAAATAAATGAAAATACACCTATCCCCCGATTTACACGGTAGATACGTTCCTGAGAAAAACGTGTAAATCGAAAAAAAAATAATGTCTTATTTTAAATCTTTCAAACCAGCCATGACTTGCCAAAAAATTTGGCTTCTTTTCAGTTGAAGAAGAAGATGGCAATTGCTCTGCAATTTTTTCGTATAGTATTTCGGTAGTATAGTGCGATAAAAACAAAAAAAAAACTTTTTTGGAAAACCGTGTAAAAGCGAAAACGTGTAAAACAAGTACCGTGTAAATCGGGGGATAGGTGTAAAGCATTTGACAAGACGTTAAAAATTGTTTTAGAACAAATGATTTATTTTTATTTAATTCTCCTGAAGAAAACAAAAGATTTTTGTCGAAACGTTGAGAAAATAAAAAACTCTAACTGGCCGAAGTGTCTATTTTTCAAAGAAATATGAATGCCGGCCAGGTAGCCTCTATCTTTACGATAAATATTTTCAAGTAGTCCCGTTACATTTTTTTATTGACTTTTCATTGAGGTACAGCTTGCACCACGCTGATGAGGGCCAACAGCCCGAAATTCGTCCGTGGTTAGCTCTTCTTGATTAATCGAGAATGAGTATTTGGCCAATTCTGGAATAATTAAAAATCAACGAGAATAGGTGATATTTATTCCGATAGATGGCGCAAGCCATCAGCAACTTTCAGTTGCACGATAAGGAGATACCTTTTTCATAATAAATTACTAAATATATCTAAGTAAACATTACTAGTAAAATAACATCTCTCTAACCACACATCTCTATTAACTCTCACCTATATATATATTATATTTAAGAATGATTTTCTGCTGTTTTTTGAATATTCTTGAGGATTGTGCTATGGTGATGCAGTCGTGGTTAAAATTAAATAAAATTAGTTATCAAAAATAGCTTTAATTGCGCTTATGGAAAAAAAATATATATATATAAAAAAATAATTTGGTAAAAGTAATGCCTGGCTTAATGCGAGTAGAACAAGGAAAACAAAAGATTATTTACATAATGTACAAAGATTTGAGCCGGCCAACGGGAAACAACAACAATAGGCTATATAAAGGGAAAGTCCCGACATCTGGTGGTAGATATAATCAGAATATTTGAATCTATGAAATATAATTTTAAATAAACAATATTTTAATATAACATATATATATATATCTTATATAAAGAAAAGAGATTTGATTTTCTGCTTACTATGTTAGTTATTTGCTGGTTCTTTTTTAGGACTAAATGGTATTGGTGATGCAGTCGTGGCTAAAATCTTGAAAGTATAATAACAAAAATGGTTTTGATCAGAGATTGTTTTATTTGAGCTAAAGTAATATATAAGAACATAATTTGATTAAAGTACTGCCTGGCTTAAGGCGAGTAGAATAAAAAAAAATGAAAAGCTTATTTACATAATGTACAAATGTTTTGAGCCGGCCAACGGGGATAGAGAAAATATCTTTATTTTACGGGGCTGCTAACCAAAATGAAAAAAGGTAATAGTCTACAGCACGTGGTGTTTCCAGGTGGACACCCTCTCAAGTACTGACCGGGCCCGACATTGCTTAACTTCGGTGATCGAAAAACAGTCAACGGGGATAGAACAACAACGAGTTTTTATAGGGGAAGTGTGACCTCTGGCGGTCGATTTAGCAGAGTATTTAAATCTAAGAAATTATAATTTAAAATAAAATAATATTTTTATATAATATAATTTTAAATAGAATATTTTAATATAACATATATGTTCCTGACACCACACAGAATTTAAGTCACAGAGATTATTACAATCATAGAATAAAGATAATATTTGACAACAACATCCAACAAAAACTACTTGTTTATTTGTTAACGTTTTAATATTTCATAAGGTATTGATTGCAAAAATACCCGTATGCTTAATTTAAAGTAGTTAAATTATATATTAACTCTTTCAATATGTAAACTTATGCTCATCTTTTTAAATAGAATATTAACAATTCACAAATTCTAAAGTTAATTTATAATTCAACTGCGCAATAAATTAAATTTACGATTTTGACCATGTTAATACATTACATTTGATAACCGATATTTTGTAATAAAATTAGTAATTTAAATTATAATCCTTTAAATCTTTAATTAAAAAGGCATATATTGGATCAAAATATCATTTATTTTACCAATATTTCAGTTGGCTGAACGCCAACCTTTATCAAGGTATTATAACATATTGATATGTACCAACAAAAAACTCAGCGCCACACACTTTAAAATGTTAATAATACCTTGATAAAGGTTGGCGTTCAGCCAACTGAAATATTGGTAAAATAAATGATATTTTGATCCAATATATGCCTTTTTAATTAAAGATTTATTCATGGATTGCTCTATTTTCAAAACAAATTCCTTTAAATATAAAAATAAAATAATCTATTGTCATTTGTATATGTTTTAATGAATGTGTAAATAATGGAAAGATCCCTTTCATTAAATATCTGTTCTCTTCTGAAGCGGTCGTTCATTGAGTGTTGGTTCATATAAATGATATTCTATGTAAAAAATAGTACAAAATTGAAATTGTACTAAGATCAGGATGTTAAATTATAAGAGAAAGACAACTCCTGATTGTGAAACTATAAGTTAATAATAGCTTGCGCCATCTATCAGAATAAATATCGAATAATCGTTAATTTTCAATTATTCAAGAATTTGGCCGAAACCCCATTCCTGATTGAACGAGTAAAGCGAACCACGTACGCGTTTTGGGCTGTTGGCCCTCATCAGTGTGGTGCAAGCTGTACCTCAACGACCAATAAATATGGTGTGTGTGGCATCCTGAAAATCAATGAATGGGTATTTAAGGTGGTTTTCAGGAAGACTCAAAGACCAACCTTTTTGGTCGCTGTGGTAAAGTTTGCACCACGTTGATGAGGGCCAACAGACTGAAACGATTATTTGATATTGTCAGTTAGTATATTAGTAGAGACAAACCTCATGATGGCAAGACAATCTATTCAATGATAATTATGAGGAATTTAAACTATTTCAGACGCGAATGATTCTTTTATAAATTAAACAATTATCTACTTCCCTTCCTAATATGATGAATTAAAGGGAGGACCTGGCTCATCAGTGGTCTTCTTCTTCTTCTTTTTTATCTCCACTCAATCATATTAGAGTGTCACGCTTGTAAAGCTTGAGACTTTTGATGATGCTTGGATGAAGTAGAATGCGTCTGCCTTTGTCATTAAGACTGGGAGCACTACTCAGTGGCAGGCCGACTTAGCTCCAAAAGAAATGGCCGCCTCTGACATGAGGAACAGACACCATGTGCAGCCGCTCCTAACATGGAGTACAAACGCTGCTCATCCTGTATCTCTGGATTAGGAGTCCTTACAGGGTACTATCAGCCGGGCCAACTGAGCCCAGGTTTTTTAGTGAGCTTGTTACTGCTCCCCCTCCACCTTTTTCATCCGTGCTTGGGACCAGCAAAGGCGGAGTTTCATCAGTGGTGAATCCTCCCATTAATTTTTCATTACAGTAAAGGCAGTTATTTGTTTAATATTTAGAAGAATCATACGCGTCTAAAATAGTTTCAAATTCTCAGAATTTTATTAGGAATAATCTTGCTGTTTTTGTTGGAAAGATTGGCTTTGATCATCTGCGCTGATATCATCAGATCTTGTGCGTTTTTTTTTTCTTCTTTTGGTTCGGTTTTGGCTGACTCGTTTGTTTTGATTGTCAATTTTATGTCTTAAGAACAAGTCGTTCCTTAAATGTAAATCTTTGCTTGTAATTGATAATAAATATTTGTTTAATAAAGTGAATAATGATCAAGAAAATCCTACAGGTTTCTGGAGAAGAGTTTATTTCATCTTTATTAAACATAATCTCAAGGTTTCAGGCATCTCTGTCCTTCTACAGGGGTACATAGAAACATATAAAGTCCGTTAAGATACTAACTGATTTATATAGAGAAAATAGAGGTAACCCGGGCTCCTGGAGCATAAATCGCCAACTACCCTGGCTGTACAGCTACAGTCTAGAAGTCTAGTCATGGGGAGGACAGATTGCTGAGGTGTACCAGGTAACCAGGTAGTTCCAGCCCGGCAGGGAGTCAGGAAGTAGGGGCAGGGCTGAAGTCTTGTACTCCAAGCAGTTTCTGTAGCCTGTATAGCATAAAAGCTGGACAGAAGAAAAGGAGGTGATCCACAGTCTGTGACTCTTCCCGGCAGTGAGGACATGTTGGATCTCTATGCCAGAGATCTGCCAGAACGTGGACGTGACCAGTAAGAATGGTAGTGGTCGCCATTCCAGGGCGCTGATTTATATATATATTTCTATGTACTGCTGTAGAAGGACAGAGATACCTGAAAACTTGAGATTACATTTAATAAAGATAAAAGAAACACATCTCCAGAAAACTGCAGCATTTTCTTGATTAATATCCAGGATATTTAAATCAATTGAAAATGAATAATGCTTCCAGGGTTAAATATCTTATATAACCTTTAATTTTATCATGCCTTTTTCGGACCTATCAGTTCTTCGACGGGAGTATTACATTAACTAAAATAAACGCCGAAATTAAGGATATATGAAGGGAATAACCCAAGAATTATATAATAAATATTGGTATATATCAAAAATGGATATCCACATCATTAAAACATACGAGTACAAAACATTTTTGGACTTTGTTATTTCTCTATTTGAAAATAATGTTATATTTTTTTTCTCCAGGTCTATCAATTTTATAAATATCAGCTAAAGATTAAAACACTTCAACCGTTTTAGGCTTTTATCTAGCGATGTTTGAGCGGCCTTCTATCGCCATTTTTAAGATACAAACTACAAAACGATGTCAGATTTGTTTTATCTATTTTAAAAATCTGAATACCAATACGTAGAACATGTAACAATAAATATTTTTTGTTTAAATGACAAAGTAATTTATTTATTTCTAGTAAACGTAATACAAGCCATGATAATCATGGTGGGTAGTAGTTTGCGAATGCTTTTACTGTAATTGCACCACATATCTACATAGGTAGAAAGAATTTCGACATTTTCACTTACAAATGTGTCAAAGCTCCGTTTTGTTACTTTCTCTCACTAGTGGGATTGGACTTTTACAGGAAAAAGGGGATATTGGAGCAAATTTTCATTCAGAAAAAAGTATCCTATGCGGGATTCGATCCCGAGTCGTGCTGTCCGAAATTGTCAGTTTATACCGCTCGTCAACCGACCCCCATCACAACAAAAGTTTTCCTTAAAGCGTCATAGATGTTTAGAATACTCATTGAAGTGGAAGGCCATTGGTAGAATAGAGGCAGACCAGTCCCAAGCAGAAGTTGCAAGATGACTCGAAACATCAAGAAAAGTGGTTTCGAATCTATGGAAACAATTTCAAGAAACAAGAGACATCTCCAGAAGAGAAGGACAAGGTCGCCCGAGAATGACAACCTCATCAGAAGAACGTTATCTGTAGTTATTGGAAAACTTAACAAAGCAATAACAGCCAGACAGCTAAAAGGTTAGCTCTCTTCGGCCACAGACACCATGATATCAAGGCAAACAGTTTACAGAAGACTCAACGAGAGAGGGATGTATGCAAGGTGGCCGAAGGTTTGTATCCCTCTCACTGCCATCTAAAAAAAAAGGCTCGTCTAAATTGGTGCAGACAACATCAGTCTCGAACCTAAAATCAGTGGGGTTCTGTTCTTTTAAGTGATGAGTCAAGGTTTAGTCTTAACACGGATTCTAGACGTGTACTGATCTTGAGAGAAACCGGGACTCGAAACCATCCCTCAAACATCAGAGAAAGCGACCGTTACGGTGGCCAAGATGTCATGGTCTGGGGTGGTATCATGTTAGACGCAAGCACGCCACTACATGTGTTTGATGGCGGCACCCTGACTTCTCATCGGTACAGAGAGGAGATACTGGAGCCCTATGTAAGGTTGTTTAGATTTTTAGGTTGTTTTATGGATGATAATGCTCGACCTCATAGAGCCCTGATGGTAGACGAATATCTTGAGAGTATTCAAAGGATGGAGTGGCCTGTCAGATCACTAGACCTCAATCCTATAAACATGTTTGGGATGCCTTGGGGAGACGAATCTCGTTCACCCCCACCCAGGACAACTCGAAAACTGAAAATTTCTTTGGTTGAAGAGTGGGATTTGTTGTCTCAAGAGATCTTTAATTGCCTAATAAACAACATGAAATATCGCTGTGACAGGTGTCTAGCTGTTAAAGACGACCACACAACCTATTAAGTCATCAAATATTGGTCTACCTGAATTTTAGACTAATTAACATAAATTTGTTTTACTTTGTAAAAAAAATATTTTAACAATAAATTTACTTTGTCCACTTGATATTTTATAGTTTTGTCTATCCACCTACAAATTTTAGTCCAAAACAATTCTTTATATTTTAGAAAACTAACATTAAGTGTTTGTTTCCTTAATTTTGGACACCAGTGTATAATCAAAATGTCAAAAACTCATGAAGTATTATTATATACGTGTGAAAAACACTCATGGGCTAAACTTATGAAAGTTTCATATTTGTATGTTGCCGGTCATCTTTTTCTTTAAGGAGACAGAGGCAATTTTGTT